TGAATGTCTCTGACCAAACAATCAGAAACAGACTTCATGAGGGTGGCCTGAGGGCTCGACGTCCTCTTGTGGGCCCTGTGCTCACTGCCCAGCACCCAGCAGAATTGGCAGGTTCGCCACTGGCACCCTGTGCTTTTCACACATGAGAGCAGGTTTACCCTGAGCACATGTGACAGACGTGAAAGTGTCTGGAGAAGCCGTGGAGAATGTTATGCTGCCTGTAACATCGTTCAGCATGACTGTTTTGGTGGTGGGTCAGTGATGGTCTGGGGAGGTATATCCATGGAGGGACGCACAGACCTCTACAGGCTAGAAAATTGCACCCTGACTGCCATTCGGTGTCGGGATGAAATTCTTGGACCCACTGTAAGCCTATGCTGGTGCAGGGAGTCCTGGGTTCCTCCTGCTGCACGACAATGCCCGGCCTCATGTGGCGAGAGTGCGCAGGCAGTTCCTGGATGATGAAGGAATTGATACCATTGAATGGCCCCTATGCTCGTCTGACATAAATCCAATAGATCACCTGCATTTACAGCATATAGATAGGCTGTATGTAAATGTTTACATGTGGTATTTACAATGTAACCTGTGTCTGCTCTCTAAGACCACACTTCCTCTCCATCATATTTTATAAGCTAGACCAATATGTTACCCAATTCTTCTAGAAATCAGACCTTGGAGAGACTTGACAAAGCAGGTGCTGTGGAAATTCCAATCTTAGTAAATCTTGGCAATATTTGGTTATTATTGGTATTCATGCTGGTATATTCAGCTGTATGATACACAGGCCCTGTCAGTTGCATTTTTGAAATGAGGTTAAAGTGATACTAAAGGAATTAAAAAAAAAAAAAAAAAAGTCATAGTATACTTACCTGTTCTGTGCAAATGTTTTCCACTAACAACTTTACAGGTAAGTAGTATGACAATGCAACTGGAAGATCATCACCACCACCTTTTACCTCCTCTATATAGAAGTCCAAATTAGGACTAGGTTCACACTTGTCCACAGTCTGTAGGCTGGTTATTGGTGAAGCAATCACACCTGTTTCCACCCCACACAACCACCTACAGCCAAACTGTGCTGCTCTTACAAGATGCGCAGGGCTGCCATTTATTCTGAATGGCATCTCATCCCGCAGCTGGTTTGGGGGTGCGGGAACCGGAGGGAAACCACATAATCAAAGATCATGCGTTTTCAGTGAGGCCGCCTTTTTCAAATCTGCAGGATACGCGGGCACAGCAGCCCATTCAAATGAATAGATTGCTGTACCCGAGCAAATGTGGGCCGCATGGCAGTGTGAGCCTAAGGTTAATGCAAGCCTGTTTAACATGCAGACTGTATAAACAATAGTTTCCGGCATGCCTTGCTCTTTATCACTGGATAAAACATATGGCATGCTTAAAACCATTCTTTGTTTGTCCTGCATGTTGAATAAACTAATGAAATGTGCTCCGATTATTCACCTGAATTTAGTACGATAGATAGATAATGCAAAGGTTTAACACAGTTTTTCGCACTGCATTTCTATGTGACTTTTTATTTGTTTTATATGTTAACCTGTTTTTAACCGCATGTGACCTGCATGCTGCATGCTTGTTTGATGATTTTGTTACAGGAAATTGAAGAGGAAAATTTGGAGGCCATAAACTCTAATACCTTCCCGTTAAGCAGCGCACAGCGTCCTATCTCTGAGAGAAAGAAACTCTCCCAGGTGAGGAATGCAGCTATAACCCTTATTTAATAAGGTGAAGAGCAGTGTGTAAAGCAGGGATGTGTAATTTGTGAGCCAGGGCCTTTAATAATGTCTCAGTCCAGTAATTAGTTTTTGGGGTGTTCAGCACATCATTAATTCTGTTGGTTATTAGCGTGTAGCCCAAAACAACAAGCTGACATGACTTATCACATTTATAATTGGGGTTGCATTCTAAAATATATTGTAGACAACTGGTTTAGGGAATATAAACTATACTAAACATTTCATTCAGCTTCCTTTGTTCTGCTTTCTCTCTAAACTGATAAAAGTTGAATTCTGATTGATTACTGCATAGTGCTGCTCTTCATATTATTTTATTACACAAAAACGATTCTTTTTCTTTTAAAGAACTCTGCGAGGCTAAATGTACATCTAAATTGGGTGTATAGCACCACAACTGAATTATAGTAATACATCAGCCTTTTCTTTAGCAGTTACATTTGTGTCATTTATGATCATGCAGTGCTTAAGCCGGAGCAGACACTGCATGGCTTGTCTCTCAATGACTTTAAAGCAGGATACATGCAAGTAACTAGGGAGAATAATGTATTTGCTTGTTGCAATAGGTAGGTTATTTGCATTCTTCATTGCAGCCACCCTTTCTTTAGGGACAAAAGGCAGGAGTTAGGGACTTGCTAATAGGTTAGATTTTTTAGAGATCTTAGCAGTTCTGCAATTAGAAACAATAAAATGTTTGACTAGAGCTCTTTTTTAGCATGGCTGACACCTTTTTCTAGATATGTACAACACTGATGCACCTGATGGTTTTATGAAAGTATATCTATAGATGAAAAGAATCCTCAGCTTAGGGCAACATTTTCTTTGCATCATGCTCCATTGTCAAATCAATGGTTTACGTTCTATAGTAACAATAACATTATTGTTAACCTACTTGTCCAGTGCTTTGTGATAATAAAAGGCCTTTCAACTTTTTTTTTTTTAGTTCCCACAAAAGTTTATAGCTTAACAACTGAGGCCTTTGGGGATTTATGGCCATTGTTGTTCTAGTTCTTGGAACATTAGGAGATAGATTATTCTGGAAGTGATTTCTTTCCAAATAAAATAAGATTACTTCGTGGTCTAGGGATTCAGATGCCATGGTTTGACGACTGCAGTGCTGCGAAGCTGTATATTTGCATGAACTGAAATGCTCATTCAGCTTTTATTTATTGTCCTACAGAACACCTAAATGAACATCGGTCCCAGCCCAGAAAAATAAAGATTCCTACCAGTGCATGTTGTTAATATGAATTGCTTATGTAGACTTGAACAGTTCTGATTTTCTAAACATTTACAAAAACAGTAATTTATTTCTAGAAAGGGTATATCATAACTCATAGTGAATATTAAAGTACTTTTCCACTTTCTGCCCCCCACCCTATCCCTTCAGAGATCAGCAAGACTGTTGTGCTTGAAACCCTTGTCAATCAGCTCCTTTAACAAATCTGCAGAGAAGCTCCAAGGATCCCACTGCTCTGATCTGCTGGGCATTGTTTGGTCACCTTCAGTAACCCATTGCCTTTCCAAGACTAGGCTGCACCTGCACAGCATATCCTTCCTGGAAAATCATTTTTCCTGAGGCCGAATATATTGCATGAGAAAAGCCAAGCATTGCTGGAAAGGGTTGGTAGCCCGGAGTTTCTCAGCAGTGTTGGTAACACAATTGATTAGCAGTGGTTCCAAGCTGGGCACCCCTCTCGATCAGCAGCAGGATAACAGCTGTAGAGGTTTTCCATTTGGTCTCAGAATGTATTTATTTTCCTCATTAATGGAGCACCTTCATCGTCCTTAGTTGTTTTTCTTCTATTTGCAAACTGTAATAAAAACTGCATCCATCAATCCTCTAAACCAGATAGGAAAACTGGATTCCTGAAAGTTCTTTTTAAAAGACCCGAGTCAGTAACAATTTGTATCACTAACAGCCCCATGATATACAATCCCACCACTAGTTAACAGTGCTCGATTCAAGTTGTTTTCCATCAGCTGACACAGTTCCCCATAATCTTCTCTCCTCTCCTCTGTGCTTCTCTAATTAGCAATGGTGACTTCCTCGTTAGCCTGGCAGGGCTTGTGAAAATGTCAACATTCCGCTCAAAAAAATTCTCCAATTAGATCTGGAGAAAAATCCTAGTATCAATTCTGCTGCTCTTCAGCAGCCACAGGGAAATGTGCAACATAGAAAGTAACCCCTTCGCACCTTAAACATGTTATATACTGGCTCAAATGAAATATAGATGGTAGGAAAATAAAAATGCTATGGTTCTTTTATTATTATTATTTTATAGTCATTATTCTTGGCTGTTTGTAAATCTAGATATCATAGGAATATACTTAAAAAATGTTTATTATTACAATGCAATCTAATTGGTCACATACAGAGGGCTGTACATACACCAAACACTAATTGCTCACAACTGTATACTACATACCGCGCAGTTAATTTTCCAAAGAGGAAATGACAAAAAAGTATCTGTCTGATTGACTGAAATCAGTGTTAAATCTTTGTTCTTGTTTGGTCTAATACGCAAATTCCATCTTTTACCTTTATATCGTCAACCATTTCTTGAAAGATGGTTCTTTGTGTTAAAATATATTTTTACTGACATAAAAATGGTTTTAGACGCCAGTGTTTATGCCAAAAACATTGCCTGTCATGCTGGTTTTGAGGGTTAAATCATGACCTGTCTCTGGCTATGATTTAATAATCCCTAGTGCTGCAGTTTTTAATCCAGCCATTGTGATTAAAGTGAAATGTTGCTGCTCACATAATGATTGGTTTTGTTGATGTTTTTGCTATGCTCAGACAATTAATCCTGGATTTAAAGTATCTGATAGCATATTATAATTATGCCATGTTAAAGATCCAGCTTCTGAGCTGTGTGTCCATATCAGAGCAACTGTGAAAATATCATGGATTATTGAAAACCAAGGTGGCGTTACTGCCCTCTGCTGGCAAAGACATACAAAATATATATTACTAGTTGGTCACTAGCCTCTTACTTTCTTTATCTGTATATTTTTTGTATGTTATTTGTTTTGCATAGATTTTGTGGTCTTTCCTTGCTTACATTTTGTTTTCTTTTTGACGTTTTGTTAGCTGCTATTTTGCACTTCTTGTATGTATGTATGTTTGTGTGTGAGTGTGTGTGTGTGTATATATATATATATATATATATATATATATATATATATATATATATACACACACTAATATGATTGCCACATCCCCTTTTACATACATAAATCCACCTAGCTATATATTTTTTCTGCAGACACGAATGAATCGGCGCCTGACGGCAGACCACAACTCTGGACTGGAAGATTCAGATGTAGCTGACAGTGCTAGCAAGTGAGTATCTATATGACACAGGTCTTATCCTGAATTCATATGGAATATTCCCAGAGGCCCTGCTGAGCTTGGAAAAACAACTATTATGAGAAGTTTTAAAATCATAAGAATCTTTTATTGCAAACAGTGCAGAGTATTCTGACAGAGCAGTGCTGTGTTTTTCCTGATCAACATAAATGCATGTGCTCTTTTACTGCTAGAACTGAATGAAAGCATGAGACTGAAAAAGACACTCTTACCACCTGCTGCCATATTCAGGCCTCATGTACACTGGGCATTTTAAAAACGACGGTAGCGTTAGCTGTATAAAGTCGCAAAAAAAACCCCTGCAGATTTCCCCTTGTTTTTGCATTAGCGTTTTGCCATGTTTTTTAGCACAATAAAAGATAAAATAAATGTTGGTTCAAAAACATCAGTAGGCAGCGGTTTGCTGGATTTACCAGCGTTAGAGATTTTTAGGGCTAAAAACGTCTCTTGAAAAACACTAGTTCTGGAGGTTTTTTTCCAGCCAGAAAATACCCCTGCCAAAAATCACTGATTAAAGCTTCTGTGTGTATGGACACATAGGATATCATCTGGGGGCTTTACTGGCTGTAGAAAAAAAAATGCCAGAAGCCAAAAACAGCAGCTGTAAAAACGTCCAGTGTGTATGAGGCTTTAAATTTAAAGGCCATTTAAAAGGTCTTCTTTTTATTAATCAAGTTGGCTTTTTTCGCTCAATAAATGTTTTATTTTAATTTTACTTTTAACCAGATTGAAGTAAAAAAAAATAAGGAAAAGGTTAGACATACAAGTCATAAGGAAAATAACTTACAATACACAACTTGTTACATTATTATAACAAAGTATTCTAGAAAAGATAACGTAAAAAATGAAAAGAAACCATAGAAAATGGTGAAAAAGTAGAAAATAAATATGAATATCAAAGGATAAGTTTACCTTTCGTAACATGTTACACCCACATTCAGGGTTACTGTAATCTGGGAATCTACTCGCTGTCACAATTTTTAGAAAGCGACCATGATGGACTCCGCACGCCCAGCTGCGCCATTCATGTACAGAGTTCTGTGAATGGGAAACTCCAAGTGCCAACAGTCTGCAGCTGTCAGCTTGTAGTACTCAATGAACTACCACAGTGCTGTTGAGCACTCTAGATAGTTAATTGATTTTTCTTGTCAGTGTGAAACTACTTGCCTGTATGAGATACGAGTAGGCAGCTTATGGTGACAGTCTGTGTAGGAGTCCTGCATGGAACCTGCGATCTGCTGATCACAGGCGCAATGCTTTCCAGGTCCCTAAAAAAAAAAAAAAAAAAAATCGTAAATGCACATTTTTTTTACCTGCAAAATAATGTGCATTTATTATCTTTTAAAAAGTGAAATTATGGTTTAAGGTGAAATTTGTGTGTTTGCTAGGAAACCTTAGGAATTACTACCATTTTATTCTCCAGGACTCCTGCTATGAAATTGGCATTTACCTTTTTGCGGTATGAAGTTGCAGGCTCTTCTAAAAATGAGCCGCATTTTTTACTTATTTTTGTTTATCTTGCACAATCCTGCTCCAAAAGAATAGTGGGCATGATAGGGGGATTTCAGTGCATGTACACCATTTTCCTGTGGCATAAAAGCTATTGCAGAAGCTACAACTCCCACAACCATTGGAGCCACAAAGCATATGCTACCAGTGTTAAAGACAAAAGGTGATGCTAGGTAGAGTCAGCCTTTGAGTGACAAGATAGAGGCTTGTGAATCAGTGGTAACACTGCTGATAGCCTTGCCCATTAAAACATCACTATGTCCCTCAAGAAAAAGGGTGCTTCAAGACTGACTGCTCATACTGCAGAAGACTCTTAAAGTTTAGACAACATTTCCACATGTGGACTTTTTTATTCCTCTCCATTTTATACAAACTCATTCTGTAAAACAGATGTTCTGTATATTTGACTGAGGATTTCTTATTCTGCAACTTCTCCTATTTGAAGTTTCAAACACTCCCCTCAAATAGTGTAATTAATGTGTAAAATTGGTATGCTGTATGTTAAAATCAGTGCTAGTCTTTTGAATTCTAAGCCTGAACATATACAATATGACATGGCATTCACAATAAAATAACTTACCTTATGCCCCTATGCCCTAACCACAAACCGATCCTGTGTGGAAAAAAGGCAGATCTACAAATGCATGAGGTTACATTGGTCTACTTTGAAGATGGATATGACATGTCACATTTATTCTACATGCAGTACTACTAATTGTTCTCGTCTTTCATCCTATGAGATGGATAGTATCCTTTCCCATCAGATCCTGCCCCTTTTCTCTTTGTTAACTTTGCTGTCTTAACATTAATACTCTAAATCAGTGGTAATCAACCAAAAAATGAATGAGGGCATCAAGTGCGGCCCCCGACACTTCCAGAAGGCCTGACAGTAGCAACTTGTGTTCATGTGTTGGGCAGCATTGCTTCGAGGTAGACAGCCTATTCAAATGGAATGGGCTTTAATGCCTCTCATCATCCAAAAATGGAATCCCCACTTGTAGTGTACTTCAGTGCTCACTAAAGAGAAAGTTGGAGCCATCACTGGTGTCAGTGATTACAATAATATCCTCCAGCATTGGTTGTCAGTGGCTGCAATCATCCATATTATTGGTGGCAGTGGCCAATAACCTCCAACATTTGTGGCACAGATGCTTAGTAGCAGTGCTATTCAACCCAGCCCCTCTATTGGTCATTAGTGGCAGTGGTTTTAGTTATTCTCCCCCCCCCCCCATTGTCAGTGAAGTTTACCCCCCCTCTCTTCCTTTCCAGCATTGATGGTCACTAATGCAGAAGGTGGCAGTGAAACTTAACCCTTTCCCCAGCATTGATGGTCAGTGCAGTCAGTGGCACCTGGTGGGCACCACTGCACTACCAAATCATTTTGATTTATTATCATCTTTAGTCCTTGCTCCCAGATGAACCCCAGTTCCTCCTCCTTTTCTCATCACAGAATTAACGTGACACTAAACAATGTTCTTATTTGACAAAAATAATCCATACAGATCCACTACTAAACCCTTTTGCAGCCAGTCGTTTTTTTGTGGGGTTTTTTTGTACACGTTTAAATAATTAATTTTATTCCTGAAGATTGCAAAAAAAACCCAAACTATATATATTTTCTGAAAGCGAACACGCTAGAGAATAATATAGTGGTAGTTCCAATTTTTTTATGTTACACAATATCAGCGCAGAGATCTAGGAAATGATTAATTTCAGTAAAAAATACACTAAAGGTAAATCTAGGGCACACAAATGCAGTAAATGACCCAATTTTTTCGTAAAATATAAAAGTTAAGGTTGCACCGAGTAAATAGATACCTAACTTGCCAAACCTTAAAATTGCGTTTTCACATGAAATGGCGACAAAATTCAGTTCCCCATCTGCCATTTAACCAGAACACAGAGCCCAGAATGCATGGGGAAGGGGGTGTAGCGGTCTTTACAGAAGGGGGGTTGGAAGCAATTGCTTTTTCTGGTGGCTGTCGGTTGGCTTGTCAGAAGCACTCACAGATAACCCCCCCCCCCTTCATATTCCCTAGTCCATAATACATACTTGCATAGAATAATTTCTTTTTAAAGTTTAGTATCGCACAGTACAAGAGCTCTGTCTTCCATTTTTCAATCATTGTATATGTCTTCTCAGATTCTCATCGGAAGACAGTGAAGAAGCATCTGGATACTTGTATGACAGTGACGCATCGTATGATGATGTAAGCCTTTCCTCGCGTCCAGGGGGAGAGATGGATCTCCTGGGAGAAATTCTGGACTCGTTGAGCACCCACAGTTCTGACCCTGGTGGAGCCCGGCTCACAGCTGCTAAGAGTCTGGACTTTTTTCGCTCTGTTGAGGATTTAGACTACAAAGTTATGGTATGTTTTGTTGCTGTTTTTTTTAACCATAATGTTCCTTTAGCCCTGGTTCACATATATGCGTTCCTGCGAGCCACATTTGTGCGGGCACGAGAATCTATTAATTTGAATGGACTTCCGTGCCCCGGGACACGTAAGCAAGAAGTCCCTGCACTTCTTTGGAAACCGCAGCCCACACAGGAACCTCGCTTCCCAAGGCGGTTGCGATTTCCAGTGCGGGGTGCGTGCCACTAGAATTAATGGCACCTGCCGCGGGTCTGCATTCTTCTGTGCGGGTGCTGCACAGATTTTTGTGCGGATCCACTGCGGCATCACCTGCACAGATGTGAACCTAGCCTTATTGAGAACTTTGGCATCGGTATAGATCAAGGTAAAACCATATTTGACAGTAATACAGGCGAAAGTCATTAGGATATGGTACAGAATACAGACGTAGAATCAACTTACAATACATAAAGTTATGGTATGTTGATAAACTTTTAAGTACATATTTTGATGTGAAAGTAGATTTCTAAGATATCTTGCTACTGTAAATGCTTTCTCCCAAAGCTTTCCCATGTAAATGACAAGCTAAAGCCAAAGTTAAGCCAACCTTTTTAATTTTGGATAGAGAATGAAAGGGTTAGAATCTGACAGCATTTTATTATAGTCTGTGTCCAAATAACGCTTATTTTATCTCAGTTCCTGTCCCAGGGACAGAAAGTATTGGGAAAACTCTTCAGTGGGAACAGGCACAGCAACAAAAATGCACATTTTAGTATAGCTGGGAAAAGTTAAGCTGGCCATACATAGATCAAAGCTCGGTTCAGCAGGGACTGACTGAGATTCAATCAATGTATGGGCAGGCTGGCTGAAGTCAATCCATCAATCGACTTCACTACAACCAGCATGTCAGGTTTTTCGATGCAATTAAAGCTGCCAGCAGTGATCATTGTGTTCTGCTGGCAGTGGTTCCCCCCTGGCATAACACAGTAGCTCCACGGGAGGGATTCCCCCCATTAACACTGACTTTGTTTTGGTGGAGGAATCAAGTAATTTTTCTTTCCTTGGAAAGAAAATTGCATCAATCTATGGCTGGTCTTAGGACCTTGGTCAGGTTTTCATTGTGTAACTTTCTCAGTGATCCTGTTTCCCAATTTCTTGTGCTGGTGTCAAACGGTAAAGGTAAACATCCCCGTGGATTTACAGACTGCAGTGAGGCTCTAGAGGAATTTTAAAGATAAATTCACTTTATGTAACTAAAAAGTGTAAAATAACCTATAACTATCTGTATTGCAAACAGAAACCTTTCTCTGGTGGACAGTACATACTTCCATCATCAGTGATAGGCAATCATTGTACAATCTTATTGGTCATATCTTAAAGTGGTACTAAGGACTAAAGGTTTTTTTACCTTCTTACCTTTTACCTAAAAAAAAACCTTCAGTGTGCAGCAACGCCCACCTTAGCCCCCCCCCCTTATACTCACCTGAGCCCCCCCCTTATACTCACCTGAGCCCGATCCAGCGATGTGCACAAGAGCAGAAGCTCTTCAGGGCCTCTCTCTGCCAGGGGCGGACTGACAACTCATGGGACCCCTGGGCAATAGGGGATCATGGGGCCCCTGTGTCCTTGCCCAAACTCAAAAAAGCCTGTGAAAAAGGTACTAGGGGCATCTCATGGGGCCCCCTACTGACTCCAGGCCCTTGGCAGTGCCTGGGTTTCCAAATGGTCAGTCTGCCCCTGCTCTCTGCTCAATAGCTGAGACACTGAAGCAGGAGCCATTGCCTGCTGTTAGTCACTGCCAGTGAGGAGGGGACGGGGCCAAGCCATTCTCTGTGTATCTCATTGACACACAGAGGGCAGCTCGGGAGGCAGCTTGTTCTAGGTGCTCTCAGCAGGGGCGAGGGACCAGAAGCATCAGTTGGGGACCCAAGAAAGGGAGGACTGGGCTGCTCTGTGAAAAACCATTGCACAAAGCAGGTAAGTATAACATGTTTGTTATTTTTTTTTTTTAAATATCTTAACCTTTACAATATTACTCTAAGCCAGGTACGCACAGTCTGAGTATTGGCCAGTTCAGTATGACCCGGCCAACATTCAGCTGTCTTTCCATGCTGAAGGGACATGCTGGGAAACCAACATTCGATCAGTGCTTGTGGCCAATGGCTACAAGTGCTGATTAGTGTGTTCTGTTGGGAACACACATCAGAACACAAGGACACAGCAGGAGAGATCGCTGTACTAACATCCTCATCATACTGGCTTGCTTTGGTTTGTTTGTAAATGGGTTGTAAAAGCATCACACAAGTGCTGCAAGTTGGCCAAATCACATGGGCTTCTGCACAAGGAAATACATGTGTGTGAGATCACAAATAACGTGCTTTGTCTCTCTGACTGGTCTCCAGTGGTAAACATGTCTATTAGGAGTAAAGGCCCATGATATAAAGGGTGATTCACTTCCAATAAGCCTGGAGTGTGGACTGTCATGCTCAGTTACACGATTACGCAAGTTGTCATTGCACATGTAGGCAAAATGCTATTTTTTGTGTTTGCACCTCTGTGTCGATTAACTTCCCCCTCCATAATTAATATTAATAGGTAGGCTGTCTGGTTAAAGTAAACAGATCAGTAAAGACAAGTGATTGCCTTTCTGCAGAATGGAAACCTGTCCTACAGCACAATTATAGTGGAGAGTATGACATCTCCATCTACTCTTATCACAATACTATACAATATAGCATACTGGAGCTTTTGGAATGGTCTACAAAACAAGCAAAAACATGTTTTGTGTTTAGTTACTTATTTCCAGAATTATTCCTTCTCACTCTTTCTGATTATCAATGCTGCATTGATGTTTTTTTCTGCATTCAATCTTTGGATTGTGATGTCAGCCAGCGCAGTCTGAATCAATGAGTATGGACGAAAAAATCTATACCAAAGGTAGGCAACCCAAAGCTCCCCCTTCATTCATTCCTACTATTCCCAGCATGCCCAGTCAGTCCTCAGTGCAATAGACTTTTTTGTGAATATTTGTGTGTGATATTTTCGGATGTTAACTCTGAAAAACATATCAATAGTCTTCATTTGAATCTATTTGTTAAGGTGGTAAGATTTCTGCATTGATAATAGATAGAATGTTTTTTTTTTTTTCTTTTCTTTTCGCAAAGTGTAAACATGGTCACCAAAAATTTCACTACACAAATTGCATAAAAGCTGAATATGATTTAAATCAAAAAGATAAGTGTGATACTAACTAATTAGCAAATAAACTACTTGTGTGTTAGATTGCTGAAGTATGAACTTTTGCAGAATGAATCTAAACTTGCTTACAGTAAACAATGTTCTTAAAAATCATTTCAGAATAATTGCTATTTAGATGCAGAGAATACATACCCACAGGGATACATTCTGACAACATGGGGAGCATATTATATTGCCAGAATCCAAAATAAAAATATAAAAGCAAAGCTTTTTATGACATAAATATATGTATTCAAATAATATCCCACTGGAATGAAGTACAGTCTTTTTTTTTTTTTTTTTACATTGTACTGGGATTTCTCCAGTTGGAAATCTTTTCCTATATTTTTGTCTGTACTACTTCATAGATTATCCTTGTAGCCCAGCATTCACCTTGATAAAACAAGGGTTAAAATACATTTATACTCAGATAGTAACCAAAATCTATGACCACAGTTTTTCTGGGGTGGATAAATAGTTACAGAAGAACTGTGATGCATTTCTAGCACAAATGGTGCTCAAAGCTTTCCCCAGTGCTTGCTGCTTGATTAGGGGTATAGGCCATAGTGCATTGATAATATTATCTCCCCACTACAAGTACAAGGCAGTCTAGAAGACACGACACATTGAATGTTTTTGAGTGTAAGAGTTGGGAAATGTGATTCTTTTTTTTTTTTTTTTATATTTTTTTATTTTAAACATATAAAAACATACAGACAACAGACGCCCACGCAGGGGCAGGGTCAAAGCCCAACAGAGTGTACATAAAACAACCCAAGGGAGAAAAACAAAAAGAAGGGGGGGGGGGCACACATAACATTCAAGGCCTAATCATTTATAGACAATATAACAGGACCATAACATATAGGAGGAACGGAAATGTGTTTCTTTATTTGCCTTTCATAGAAGCCCAAGGAACTATACTGAACTTAAAGCTGTATTAAACCCTGAAGCAAACATTTATTATATTGTAGCCTACCAATTCTTAGATGTGATGGCTGTATTTTTTTTCTTTTTTGGCTTTCTTTCCTTGATTTTCATCAAGTATGTTGTTTTCATTAGAGCAAGCTGTTCTGCAAATGTATCAGTTGAGACAAACCATTTACGCCAGATAGGTGGGCTTACAATGATCAGCTTTTATTTATTTATATAAAACCTTTATCCCAAGAGAGGCTTTAACTGGTTGTATCACTGCAGTGTGAGCTGAAGTTTGGCTTCAGTTTGTTAGTGTATCTAAATCTGTTAGCACATCTAACATTCCCCTACTGCTCAGATTAACAATGCTAATGTTCAAAGGTGCCCCTGCGAACCTCTATCCACTCTAATACAGGAAGTGTGCTACTGGCCAGATCACCAGGGGAAAACAGATGGAAAAAAACCTAAATAAAGAAAATGAATGCAGCCAATACATCTAAGGATTGATAAACTGCATTATATTACATTTTTGGTTTTGGGTTTCGTACTGCTTTAACTGGAGGCTACTATTGCTAATATTACCTTCTGAAAATGCTAGTTACCTACTTTTCTTGCTGATTCAATGGCTTTAGTTTTTTTCTGAGGAACTGACCTGAAACAAGTGTGAAGTTTAAATATTTTTTAAAAAGTGCAGCGCTAATTAAACCAAAATGATATACGAGTCTATAATTGTACATTTGCTTTTATGAAGTCCCAAAGTAAAAAAAGTAAATATCTTCATCCAAAAAGATATATAATTCTTCCTCCTTGATTTAATCACCTCAGTGATCTACCACCACAAGTTCTATCAAACGTGCTTACCAGAATATATTGACTCTGGAGTAGAAGAGTAAAAAATGCACTTGTATCTATAGAATCTCGCACAGGATAGCGTGACCCTCCTCTTGTCTGGTTATCCCATCAGCAATCATCATCATCCAAGTTCCCAGGCTCCACCATATTACAGGGAAAGAACCAAATGAACCATGTAGTGTAAGTGCTGGCTCACATATATGTGGATTGGATGCGAATTGAACCGCATACAATCTGCATGACATCTGAAATAACATTGCTTCCTATGGTGCCTTTTCACATATGTCTGGTGCACTGGCAGTCATATCCGATTTCTGAGCAGTGCGGTCCGGATCAGGTTAGGATTACACGCTATTGACTTTATGGTAACCGTTTCTAAACTGCATATGTATAAACAGGATAATCCTGAGAGCTCATCCTGTCCTGAACTTGATGTAAACCTGACATGAACCGGTGAACAATGACTGTATCAGTTAGCTGTAAAATCTGAGCTTCAATCCGTACCGCACATGTCTGAATCAGCTCTGTAACTGCTATATGAAAATTTTATTAAAACATACCAAATACACAAGGTTCAAAAGATAAGCACTTATAGTATGATACAGCCGGTCCTAGGGCACAGGCGGTCCGCTTCCGGGTATCAGGATACGTGATGACTTTTTGATTGTCGGCTCTACCCTACGCATTCCATGACATCTGACATCATCTGAGGTGTGGAATCCGCACTCAGCCATCAATCTTAATTTATCCGAAACAAACTGGAGGAAACCAGAAACAAAGCCAAAGCTGTTACTAGTCCAAGTGAGGCTTGGACTAGTAACTTTGGGACTTTATAATTGTACATTTGCTTTTGTAATTTTGGTGTTATGGTTATTTTATTTCATTAGCTCTTCACTTTTTGGAAAGATTTATAATTGTCTATTTGTATTAGTTGATCTGCAAGCAGCTTTATTATTCCTCATAGCACGATTCCTTCTACTATTTAAGTGTGAAGTTTAGGAGCTCTGTCTCATGGTTTGCATGTTTTTTTTTCTGATTCAGCATCTCAGAAACTATTAAAGCCAAAGAAAGACCAACAACAGAGTACTCCATCAAGGCAGCATCCATATTCTTACCACTGCAGGTTTCTCTTCCTGTTGGTCAAATGCACCTGCCAATAAGTTCTGAATTGACTTCAAATGCAAGCAGATTGCACCTAAAGCATGGTGCTTATGCAAACTGACACAAGCTCAAAGCCCTTCAACACAAATCCTAAGTGTTGTTTAGTGGTTATCAGGATAGCAAAAAATATCTGTCCATGCATCCCTTCACAAGCTCAGTTCTCCTGCACTCTATATATAACAGGTTCTGCATATGACCATAAATTCTTTGTTTTGTATAAGATGCTACCTCATTTAACAAATTGTTGATGTTTGTATAGTGTTGCATGAAAATGAGAGAAGCTATAAATTATAGTAAGGACTGAAATGGCCACCTATTTGCTGGTGTTTGTGTTCTGTCCTCTTCATATCTAATTTTTTTTTTTTTTTTTTGTAATGGTGAAGCTTCTGCAGTATCCATAGGAGCTTCTGATTATCCTTTAAGAACATTTGTTCTGTTTGTCCATTGCAACCAGGTTCTCTTTCATGTCTCTTCTAATCACAGGAACAATTTGATTGCTGGTGGCAAAAAAGAGCTCATCCTCATGAAACTTTTGATCATGAGTCCCAATGTTCAATGGCTTAAAATTGGCATCACTTTGTACTTACAAGTTTGTTTTATACTGTATTTTTGTATCTCCACCAGAAGAAACCCAGTACCCCCAGCGAGGACAACTTGAGTTCACGGAGTGCAGACGCTAGTGAAAACTGGAACTTTGGCCAAGATGATAGTGTCCTTTACAGAAAACATCTCTTGCCACCCCGTAAGCATAGCAGGGAAGAGGCATCTTTTAAAGACTATGACAGACGCAGGTCAGAATTTCCCACATTTCTTCTTACTGGTGTTCCAGAACCTGATACACCTGGACGCCCAACTTCTCTCTTTTGCCATCGAAAGGTAGAAACAGGATACGTTGTTGGTATCCCTTATGATGAGCTTCCACAGAAGAGCCTGACTGGACAGGTGCAATGGGAAAAGGAGAGCCAACTGCAAGATGTACAAAACAGGAACCCACCTTAATCATGCTCACGTATATGTTCATGCTGTCTGTTGCTTCCAACTCAAGATTCAGGCATTCCAGAAGCTAGCAGAACAGCAAAACTGAAAACTAAAGAGTTTAAAATCAATTTAACTACTGAATCACTAAATGTCCTGCTATTTCATGCATTTCTGCCACCCATATCATGCAGGATTCTACATATTTTCCTTTTATTGAAGTGTTTTATTCTCATTCATGTATTTTAACACATCTAGGAAGAATTTTTTTTTAAACAATGTACCTAAACGTTGCCAGCAGGTGGTGGATGTGAACATGGAAGCAACTACAATTTGAAGATTTAAGGATTTCAGTCATAGTCTGCAGTGGTTTGTGGGCGAGCTAACCATTCTATGGTTATATTAAGTATTTGTTGAGCGTTTGATGTGGCTTTTTTAAAGGCTTTTCCACTGAACTTAAAATGTTAACACCTTCAGACCCTAAATATACTAATGCAGAAGGGTTAAGTTCACCCATAATCCTCTGGTAAGCAATATCTGGACCCTTCGTAGCACTGTTGTTTTACAATATGTCTGCAAACTAAGGCACACCAGTCACATATACTGATGAATGGTCCAGCCGCTAGACCTGTTCTAGTGCTGGTCAAACATTCAGGGAAACCTCTTTGTGCATGGAACTGTCACTATTCAAGTAAAGCGGAGAAAAGCTCAATTTTTATTTTCATGTTATTGTGTTGTTTTCTGCCAGTAAAGATGTTGTACTGAAATGTGATTATGCTTTAATGCTCACTGGAGCTTTTTTCCTACAACAGTTTAACAACACTCTAACCCCAATTATTATGTTATTTAGGAACCCATTGGACCATGTCAAAATTCTGAATACTTTTTTACCCCATAAGCAGAATTTTTTTAATATGATAATTAAAATCCATTTACATAGAAAAGCTGCCCCTACAATCATGGGCCTTACCAAAGATTGATATAGCCACAAAGTGAAATGTTAATTTCCTAATATATTTTTCTGTGAAGACTTGGAAAACAAGACATGAAAATTAACAAGTTGATATACTGCCCGCCTTTTTTTTTTGCTGTTTGTGACTTCGGTCTATATGGTCTTTCCACAAATCTGGGCATGCCTGCTTTAGGATTTATGAATCCGTTCCAAGAATGGAAAGGTCAAGAATGTACTTGTTTTTCCATTGGCTTAACGCATTTATAATATGGATTACTTTACATTCAATTGGCAAAATCTCTATTTTGCATATTATTTTCAGTTCATACCTTCATTTATTGGTGGCCCCTGTATATGGCGGAGCTGTCTAAAGTAGATGTAAACCCCAAACTATATGACGTTTTATTTGTGAAACCATTGTTTATCATAAATTACTTTTTATCCTCTTGCATATCAGAATTGGCTTGATCCCCTCTTTGTAGCCACCTTCTGCGCATGCATTCCAGTGATGGCTGCATGACATTTCCACTGGTAGGTTTTCTGTTGGTGGCACAGCTGCTTCTAGTCTATATTGGGGGAGAGCTTGTGACAACACAGGAGAAAAATTGGGAGACAGGGACAGAGCATTGTCACCCTATAACAGGAAGTGCCTGGATGAGAATAGTGGTATCAACAGGTACCATTTTAATGAAAGTTGCAGATTTAAATATATTTAAAATAGTTTTTGATGCTTCTGTTAAAAATGTATATGAGTGATTGGGTTTACATATAATTTAATAAGCAACAAGCGTATAATTTGCCCCAATTTATTTATATAGAAACAGAAAAAAACAGATTTACAGTGCCTTTTTTCTATTTCCAATATTCACTGTTCTAAAGTTGAATATAGATTTCATTCTGTCTGCTGCAAACCTATAGCTTCCTTTGTGTTTAAGAATTTTCAGCAGCTTCATGGCCAGAATAGCCTACTTCACAATGATTCTACTTGCAGGAATGTTACCTGGCATGATTTATCGGATACAATCAGAATTTGGTAGATCACTGGACGGTCTTTTAGTGCAATAAGTTACCACAACAGGTAGACCATACATAAAGGATGTCATGAGTGTTATTTCACAACAAAATCAATAATACTTTACTCTGTTTCTTAAAACTATGCAACGTTCGGTACATAATTTATCATACAACATTGTAGCATAAATGGTACGCTAAACACTTGAAATATTGTTAGTTTTACCACAGTAACCATTTTTTGGCTATAAATGGTACGGAATTTCTTTATTGTGTCTTAAAATGATTTGGAAAATGTTTTATGGGACAGATGTAAATATTCAAAAAAGGACTACTTATAAATAGGTATTGTAGCTTATATTTTGTAACACTTGCAATGCCAGTGCACTGTGATATTATGAAGATTTACATATGCAGAATATGTTTGGGAGATGAAAGCATGTATTTATTTGCATATCAGAGTCTGCTCCAGGCTGGAGTGTTTTTACACTAGGTATATCAGCATTCTGCATCTCAAAGGGAGGAAAAGTGGTATGGGAAACAGTAGGATGTTGGATAATTGTTAGAGAGATACTGAGTGTTCCATTTTTTTGCTATTTTTTTTTTTACAACTTTTAATGAGGAAAAATCCTATGCTCCATTTTTTGTTTGTTGTTTAAGTAGAAGTGTTTTTACTACCTATGCTTTAAACCCATTTCTTTTAATATGGGACATTTGCACATCTTTCAGTATTCAAAATCATTTTTGACCTGTCCTAACCCTGCCCTTTGGAGCTTTAATTATGCAAAACCACACCCACTCTGGGAGAAAAATAGAATTGTTCTGCAAAACAAGGGACAGTTAGGTGTTTCTGTATATGGCTGGTACATCGCTGCCACCATAGGAAAAACATACCATTGAATCTACAGTGACACTGTTACAATTCTTATTTTTGCAGCGAAAAATGAAATGTATATTGAAAAAACCTGTGATGTTCTAGATTAACATAAGAATGATCATTTCTGTTCAATGTGTTTGTAGACTGAATATAATTTAAAATGGCATATATCTGATTCTGGGCGCAACAAAATGTGGGGATGAACCAACTTTTTTATAACAATATGCACAGTAACTCACCGTTAGCATGGCTGTATATACAATTTAGCCAAAATATGTAAACAACCACTTTGCTGTTGTGCAGGCACCATGATGTGGAGGGAAGTAAAAAATAATGTGTTGCATGTATCGGTATATATCGGAAGGTGTCTGTGTTACCCAGGCAACCAGTCTGAGCCAGAAAAATGATAGATGGAATTTGATTATTGTGGGCAACATACTGAATTCTATTTTTCCAGGTTCTGTAGGTTTTCCCCTTCATGTACAGAGTTAGTAACTTATTGTTGCCAAAAATCTCTTGTTTTTTTCTTAGGTGTGTTCATTCCCAGATCCATTTCTGCATTCTTTTTTATGTTCGTACAGCGCACAAAACTTGACTCTTAATTATTGTAGTAAAACACTGTAGACCAGTTTTAGGCAGACTTATTTTGAAAGTACAAACAAATCAGAAATGAGACCTTACTTCTGGATTTAGCGGGTACCATTTGCATAAAATATTTGGTCATGGCAAAACTGATCAGAGTTCTCTTATTAGGATAATTCTGTATCCGGTTTCCCTGTGCATCTTAGTGTATTCAGTACAAACATTTTCTTTATTGTAATTTTTATAATTTGTTCTATAAGCAGATGGTATAAAGTAAACCAATAATTATTTAGTAAAAAAATCTAAACATGGTAAACCCTGTATTACTATGATTTTGAAGCTCATTCACTTACAACCTCTTATGGGGACTGGGCTCTGCCCAAAAACAGGACTTCAGCAGTGCCATTTTGTCCTCCTTTCGTAATTTCATCTTTCCCCAACTTCCAGCGTTACATTACATGTAATTCTGCTTTATATAGGGTTGATTCTTAGTAATGATTTGGGCACATGTAAGGGCTTGTTCACTCCAAGTGGTTTGAGCTGTGTTTCTCTAGTTGATCAACACAAGGACACAGCAGAAACAATTGCTGTCCATGTGCTCTTTCCACACCACACCAGTGTGATGGTGTGTGGTGGAAAGATGTAGCCATGCTGCATTTTTTTTTTATGAAGCACAATGCACAAAACTATGTGCCAATGCATGTCAATACAGTATGATTCAATGCATCTATCAAGAATTTAAAAAAATAAAACTCTTGCGTTGAAAAGGCACATATCCAGGTGCATGCATTTTCTGTGAAGTGCAATATAAACGAGCCCTAAAAAGGAACTCCGCACTCAGTCCTGCTACTTGTTCATGTCTAGAATTTTGCTAGAGATCAAGGAGTAGAGTTTAGTTAAAGCTTAATCTTAGGATAAAGCAAAAAGTGAATGACATGTAACAAACTATCTGGGCATACTGTAGAGCAGCCTTCCTCAACCTCGTTATCACAGAGGAACCCCTAAAATACATTTCTAGTCTCAGAAAGCCCCTGCTAGTAATGACTTTATCTACAGCTCATGGTAAATACTGAATGAGGAAAGAACATAAATACTGTAATAGTCATTAGGAAGAATCCCCTCTACAGGTATATAAAAAAAAAAAACCCTCATAGCTTTCAGTGGATACTTCTCTAGAAATCCTGTTGGTCACCGCTCAACTGCTTAAAGTGGATTGAACTCTTATTAGTAAAACAGTTCCTTACAACCTTCACAAATAAGAATCACAAAAATGGCTACCCTGT